CCGGGACCCGGAGCGCTCTCCGGCGGCGCCGTCTGCTTTTCTGAGGCGGTGGCGCTTCGGGACCCAGCAGAGCTTCCCTCGAAGGAGGCGCCGGCCCTTGGGGACTCGCGGGAGGTCCACCGGCGCGTTTGGGAGTGATTTCCTCATCGCCCCACTGAAAAGCGGAGTGGTGTTTTGAAGTGTGTGAAGTTTGGGAAATCGCGGACTGGGGACCACGTTCGTACGTTAGTGAGTCACGCAAAGGCCATGTTTCCCTCACCTGGGGGAAGCGGTTTTCGGTGGGTTGGTCCAGCGAGGGGACGAGCCGCTTTTGGGGGCGGCCTCTTCACGCTCGAAACGTGCTCGCGGAGGCCCGGCTCCTTGGCAAGAGTGCAGAGCGGCATGCAGCTTGTCACGGTGTGTCTCCGCCTGCCTGACCACTTCGCTGTACCCTGTGCTTGCTCCTCCCACGGTCACTGGCTCTCGGCCGGCAGAAGCTTGTCCTCCACGGATGCTGGTGTGCTGTGCAGGGGTGGGGTGGGGGGTGTCTGGGGGATTGGAGTAGGGTTAGAATTACTAGGAAGAGAGGGGTGATCGCTTTTGCAACTCAGAGGTGATGGGGTGAAAGCTGGACATCTTAGAAGTTATGTGGACAATAGTAGTGATTATAATAAACCATATGTCAGTGCCCGTGCTAAGTGCTTTACACATGTCCCTAACAGTCCCATGAGGTGGGGACTGTCACTACTCCCTTTTGAGATGAGAAGAATGAGGCTAGCGCCAGAGTAAGTTGTCCAGGGTTACAGGTTAGTACTTGGCCGAGCTGAGACTGAGATGGGACATTCAAATGCATAGTTGAAATCCTAGAGATTGTTGGGAGGGCTTGAACGGGAGAGGAGTGGTTTGGAGGTCGAGTGCCTGAGTGGAGGGCAGGGTGTCTGGCTGTGGCTTGAGTGTGGGCTTCCCGATTACCCGCAGAAGGGGCGGAGAGGGAGAGGGTGGCCTTCCAGAAGGAGAGTGACGGTGAAGATGCTAGATCCCTACAGGGAGGGGCTCACTGAAGTCGGGAGGGGCCGCGGCTCGGCTCTGAGGTGTAGGGCTCCTGATGACTTTGAGATGCTAAATCCAGGAGAAGTCCCGGCATATCTGTTAGTTGCCTGTTAGTTGCGCTTGGCTGTGAGTCATCCAGTCAGGGCTAAAACTGTTCTATTAAGTTAATGAGGCAGTCTGTCCGTTGACACCTGTGGCAGGAACTTGAGACGCAAGGTCTGATGGCGAGTGTCCAGTAGAGCGTCACTGTGTGTGGAATAAAGAATGTCGTCTTTAACAGAAAACTTGCCCTTCGAGAGATTCGGTGTCTCTGTGCGAGGCAGCTCTTCTCTTGACTTGCTGCGTTCTCTGCAGAATCTGTCGCTATCGAAGAGCTGAATTTTCCTTTCTTGGTATAAGCAGTTTCATTCGCTGTTTGGAGTTATTGACACCTTAACCAGCAACTTTCAAAGAGCTCAGTTGATGGTGAGCTTAATCTCACTCAAGACTAATTGCATACATTATTGGGATTCATGTGTAAACTTCCAGTACCTAAATGTTTAAAATCACATCTGATAATTGGGTATTTTTGATAAACTCTGATGCTGAGTATATCTATATAGTGTCATAGGTTTTCCTGAAGAATAATTATTATTCTCGTTTGCTCCTCTTAGTATTTTTTCCTGTGTGATTTGTAGTTGTCGACTAATTGAAGGGAAAGAAGAACCAATTCGAGCTGTGTGTAAAACCCCGCCAGCAGTGCTTTTCTGACTGACGTCGACAGGGCACCTCCCGTTCCCAGCCTTGAGAGAATGCCTGGTCCTTTTCCATGGCCCTCTCTGGTACTCTTACCTGATCTCTTACTGAGTTCTTCAAAAACCTGGTCGCTTTCTTCCTTCATGGTAAAGTATTTGACCATGAAATACATGAGGCAGATAGGGCCTTGGAGCCCTCTTTTTGATCATACAAGGAGATACAGTTCCTCAAAACAGCTGTCAAGCTGTAGTATAGCTGTCGTCCCATGCAAACTCCGGGGCACAGTTCCGAGGTTAAAGTCTTCACGGCTGATGCTGTGTGGCACCAGATGACCCAGGCTTCTGGCCAGACAGATATCCAACACGTTTTGTGGAGTCTATTAGTACTGTCTGACTTCTTAAACAAGTCCTTCATACAGTTCTGTAGGAATGCTTCGTCTTTAGGCATGGATAGATAAGTTCAACGGGTAGAAAATGGGGCGGAAGACCCCTGTTTCCAAGGAGTTACAGTGTTTTGAGGGAAACAGAAATGGAAGCAGCTAATTAACACTGCAGGGGACGGAATATAAATGAAGCAAAGAGAAGTAAAATCTCTTCTTTTCACTTTTGACCAAATGAAATCCAGTATGTTTTTGTATCATTACTTTCTTGACCTTTAAAGTTCAGTAGTATCAATGGTTGATATATTCATAGATGGTTCCCAGCTTACAGTGATTCAACGTGGAATTCTGACTCTGGGATGGTGGGAAAGTGAACACATTCCATGGAAACCTTCCTTGGAGTACTCAAAGTGAATTTGTTACTGTCGGTGCAGGATTCAACGAGTTACGTGAGATACGTAATGCTTTATTACAAGACAGGCTTTGTGTTGGATGGTTTTGCCTAAGTGTAGACTACATCTCCTAAGAAGGTTTAAGCAGGCTAGGTTAAACTTGGCTTAAACTTTGATACTTGGTAGGTTGAGTGTGTTAAATGCATTTTGACCTAAGGCATTTTCAATTTAGGATGGGTTTATCCAGATGTAATCTTATCGTAAGCTGAAGAGCATCTGTATTCATATGAGAAATAATAGTAGGAGAAAACTGGTAAAGAAACTCTTCGGCACAGATTCACAAAGCTGGGGAAATTGCAGAGAGGTGATTCTGTAATGGATGCCTTTTTTCTCCACTTATTTTTTCTTCAGTGTGAGGTCACGCTCCCCGCGGGGCCATGGGAATGTTGGGTCAGGCTCACGGGGGTGTGGGTGTCTGGGGTGTGATCTGGTGCCGTGGGAAAGATGCAAAGAATTGCACAGAAGTTAGAGTGGGAGATCTAGTTTATGTAAAAGTAAATTGGAGAGCGAGAGAGACTCCCCTCTCCAAGGCAGGAGAGGGGGCCAAAGCTTAAGAAACGTGGCTGCGGCCAGAGCCCAGAGAGCACGTGGCCACACCGAGTCCGAGGCCACGGCCCGTGCTGCCTGTAGTTGCTTGGGGAAGGGTCCTTGAGGTGGCCGGGTGGAGGTCTGCTCCCGTCATCACAAAGGGGCAGGCCAGCGCAGCTGCTGCTGTCGGGTGATGGACAGCAGGCCGACGGGCGGCACCGTCACGCGATTGCTGCCGTGGTGGTGGGTCCACCTGTCCCGAAGGTCGATGTGGAGGGGGCTCTGGGGGCCTGGAGGGGATCATAAAATGATGACAGTAGCTGCCTCTGAGGAGCTGGTGCTGTCCCTGGCTAGTGATCGGGGGGGGGGGGGAAGCTAAAGCGAAGGCCAGAAGAGCGTGCGATTTAGGCAGTGGTAACACGGCTGCTCATTGGGTGTATTAAATCCATGCCATCTCCTCTCATTCCACTTTCCGTGCTGATTTTCTATTTTTTTTGACCCCTAATGATACTTGATAGGACATGGTACGTGAAATTGTGAGGCTGAGCGGTAACTTGGTAATGACTGCTTCATGACAATTTTAACAAGAACGAGGCCGTGCATAGTGGCTCACACATGTAATCCCAGGCCTGAGAGGATTGCTTGAGCCCAGAGTTCAAGGCCAGCTTGGGCAGCATAGGGAGACCTTGTTGCTACAAAAAGTTTTAAAAATTAGCTGAGTGTGGTGGCACACACCTGTAGTCCCAGATACTCAGGAGAGTGAGGCAGAAGGAGGATCGCCTGAGCCTTGGCATTCGCGGCAGTGGTGAGCCGTGAGCGTGCCACTGCACTTCAGCCTGGGTGACGGCGTGAGACCCTGACTCAATTAAATAACTAAAGAAACTTCTTATCAGTCTTGTCAAATATGGCCACTTTCTTTCCCTCCTGACATGGCATAGTATATACTGTATATACTGTCGTTCCTTATATTTCATTGTCACAAAATTTTTTCATTCATTCATTCATTATTACAGCAAATGATGGGGGCCTATAACAGTAAAACAGATTCTGTGTTTGAAGCAAAGTTCAGCTCAGGTATTTATTGAGAACCTTCTGTGCGTTAGGTAGAGTTCAGCAGGAGGTAAATCAGTGCATGGAAGCGCCAGAACCCTGCCTTCGGGGAGCTTCCTTTCTAATATTATTTATTAACAGTGAGTACTTGTTAAAATGCCCATGCAGCATGTGGCCATTTTGACATTAATAGAATTACGTGATCTGCTAAAGGGAATGGCCTGAAGATACACTGATTTCTTTTTCTTCGTTTTCATTTTTCTTAACTGGCCGAAGGATAGAGTCATTGTTACATGTTCACCATGTTTTCCCCTTTTCTGTTAGTGGAACTAAGTTCATGGTGATCATCACCTTTTTGCTTGTCTTGAGACCCACAGTCTGGCTTCTCTAGGGCTTTATTAAAGTGTGGCGTATATTTTGCCCTGAATATGTCTTTAGTTCTAGAGTTAGCGTTAGAGGTCAGTGGGGGGGGGCTCTGGGGGCCTGTAACAGTAAAACATTCTGGTTATTTTCAACAAAAGATCCAGGGTCTGTGAGGGTGGCGTGGTGGGTGTAACTTCAGGTCTTGTGGCTGGGTTAGAAGCAGAACTGAAGGTGGTTATTTCAGTCAACCAGAAACTCCTTCCTGCACCTTGCTATCTATCATGGGCCTTAAATCCAGAGTTGTTGGAAGGGTTTAGATGGCTGTGGTGCTGGAAATACATATCCTTGTTCCTGGTGTGCATCACTCCCTAATTTTTACTTCTAGTTGAGAATTTGCAGGACC